ATAAACACTAGTGTCTCAGTGCCACTGGCAGCCATGCACGCCCAAACCATCACACTGCCTCCCCTGTGCTTTACAGATGATGCGTTGTCCTTTGGTTCATGAGCTGTTCCACGCCTTTTCTTGACATCATTCTTGTAGAGGTTGGTCTTGGTTTCATCTGCCAAAGAATGTTTCTCCAGAGCTGTGCTGGCTTTTTTTTTTTTTAGATGTTTTTTTTTTTTTTTAGCAAAGTCCAATCTAGCCTTTCTGTTCTTGAGGCCTTGCACCTTGCAGTAAACCCTCTGTATTTACTTTCATGCAGTCTTATCATTATGGTAGACTTGGATATCGATATGACTAACTCCTGGAGAGTGTTGTTCACTCGGTTGGCAATCATCCACCACTGTTATCGTCCATGGATGTCCAGGTCATTTTGCATTGCTGAGTTCACCAGTGCTTTCTTTCTTTCTCAAGATGTACCAAACTGTAGATTTTGCCACTCCTAATGTTATAGCAATTTCTTGGATGGGTTTTTTTCTGTTTTCCCAGCTTAACGATGGCGTGTTTCACCTACATGGGCAACTCCTTTGACCAAATGTTGTCTGTTCAAGGAAATATCTTCCAAAATGCAACCAACACACCTCAAATGAACTCCAGGCCTTTTATCGGCTTAATTTATAATGATATAAAGAAAGAATTGCCCACATCTGTCCGTGAAATAACCTTTGAGTCAATCGTCCCATTACTTTTGGTCCCCTTTAAAAAGAGGGTGACCTGCATTAAGGAGCTGAAACTCTTCATTGAATTTGACACACAAATGAAAGCTGAGAGTCAACACATTATGTCCATTATATAACTATAACTGGAATACGTTTTAGTAAAGACAGTAGTGTGTTCAGCACTTTAGGAAATACACTAATATGCTATCTTTCAAGAATCAGGTAAGATGATTCTTTGATAGATTCCTGTGAGCTAAATGTAAAAGTTGAACATGCAAGTTCATAACATACAGTTAGGTCTAATTAGATTTAATTTTGCCTCTTTACATCACCACAGTGGATTTTAAATCAAACAATCAAAAAGTTACTAAAGTGCAAACTTCCAACTTTAACTTGAGAGGTTTAAAAAAAATTGCATTGACTGCTTAGGATTTACAGTCAGGTGCAAAAGTAATTGGACCATTCATGGCCAGGTGAGGCCTGTTCCTTTGTTATTCCTTGACAAAACAAGTAGATCTATCTAGAGCCAATTCCAAGTATTCAACTTGCATTTAGTATCCGTTCACTAGAACTCTGAAAATTAAGCCCAAATAGATGTTGCAAGTGAGGCGGGCCATCGTTTGGCTGAAAGATCAAAATAAACATATTAGAAAGTTAGAAGAAAGGAGTGAGCAAGTAAACAGTTTGGTACATGCTTAAAATGAATGATTGCACTGGCCAACTTCACATCTCCAAAAGGCTTGAAAGGCCACAGAAGAAAGCTAAATTGGATGATTGCAGAATTCCTTTCCAAGTTAAGAACACTCAAAGAGATAGACGTATCATTGTCAAAGTCTACAATCAAGAGACGCCTTCATGAACGGAAACACAGAGGGTTTACAACAAGGTTAAAATGAAAAATAAAAAAGATTAGAAATATAGATTAGAAAAAATAAATATGTTTAGCGTACAGGCCTATACTCAGATTCAAATAAATCCTGCAAAACTAATGGAACTGCACTTTACTGTGTTAATGGATAATTACTCAGGGGAATTGAAACTCAGAGTTTCTCAAGACAAAGGAATAAGGATATTCTTAAATGTCCAGTTACCTAATCTCAATGCAGGAGAACAGTTTTCAGTTATTTAATACAAAGCTGAATGCAGACACCCACAAACAAGTATTACCTAAAGGAGCCTGCAGTAAAGGCCTAGCAAGCATTTCAAGGAAACACATGTTGATATGTCTATGTGGTCCAGTCACCTACTGCAAAGGATCTCATCTAGTATTTGTTGAGAATCTAGAGAATCTGCAAATATAAAGACTCTTAAGTCTTTATATTTGCAGCGAGTAAAATAAGTATTGAACACGTCACCAATTTTTTAAGTAAATATATTTCTAAAGGTGCTATAGACATGAAATTTTCCACACATGCAAAGAAATCAGACTATAGATGTCTAGAAACGATGTGATACAAAAGCCTTTGTTGGTGATGACAGTGTGAAAACTCCTCCTGTGTGGAGAAACTATGCTCAGGTGTGATTCTGGCCCATTCTTCCACACAGTGTTCACATCCTGAAACTTCTGTAGGTCCATTCTTTGAACCCTGAGCTTTAGTTCTTTCCACACATCTTTAATTGGATTCAGGTCATACGATTGGCTGGGTGATTCTAGCAGCTTTATTTTCTTTCTCTGAAAGCAACTCGGAGTATCCTATGCTGTGTGTTTTGCATCATTGTCCTGTTGAAACATCCACCCTCATTTCATCATCATCATCATCCTGGTAGGTGGCAGCAGATTTTTTTTTATCAAGAATGTCCCTGGACATGTTTCCATTCATCTTTCCTTCAATTATGTGAAGCATGCCAGTGCTGTATGCTAAAAAACAGCCCCACACTGATGTTCCCACCTCCAAGCTTTACTCTTGGTATGCAGTGCCTTTTGGCCTCCAAACAGCTCAACTTTGAGCTCATCTAACCAGTCTACATTCTCCCAGTTTTTCACAGGCTTGTCTAAAGCGGGTCTAAAGTTCAGCAAAACTTTAGACCCGCTTCATTATGAGTTTTCTTCAGCAATGGAGTCTTGCATATGGCGTGCATGACTTTCCATTTTCACTGGAACCTTCACTAGTTTAGAAATTCTTCTGTAACCAATGCCATCAATATGTTTTGCAACAATAAGGTTGCAAAAGTCTTGAGAGAGCTCAGTGGTTTTACTCATCATACTATGTTTCTAATGTGACACCTTGATAATGAGACATCTTTTATAGGCCATCATTTGAGTCTGAACCAGCTGATATTCATTTGCACTAAGTGGCAGGACTGCTTTCTGATTACTGATAGATTTCAGCTGCTATGACTTCCCATGCCCTTTTGAACCTCCCTTTCTTCAATATTTTTCCCTATGTCATTTCTCATTATTAAACATCACTTAATTTATGGACATCTATGGTTTGATTTCTTTGCATGTGTGGACTGAATGAGTTGTTACTGACATCTGATGAGAATTTCATGTCAACAGCACATTTAGAAATATCTTTACTTAGAAAATTGGTAACGTGTCTAATATTTATTTAAGTGTAAGTATGTCCAACTGCTTCTGTGGCTCTGAAAATGGGAAAAACATGTTTAAAAAATAACAGTAATTCCTAGAAAGTCCATTCAAAATGTTTGTTAAACAACTTGAATTAAAGCTCTGCACTTAAAGATTATGGACCCAACTATATATAAGTAACTAACTTGTCTTATAAGGGGTACATAGAAGGAAAGGCCCATTTTAACATAAGACTGTTGTAGGCCTTCAGTTTCCATCATTGTTTCTTTTTTTCTCAAAGGTGGAAACCGAGACCTATGTTTTTCAAATGCTTTATGGTGCCTGTTTGAGAAGGTATACTAACTTTTACAGTATATATTTTCTTGCTACGTCAAGTACTAAACTCTAAACTATCTTGCTGTAATTTAAGAATGTTGACAAGTTTGAGCACTTGTCTTATTAGGAAATGTTGATTGTTAGGAAAGCTGTAAGTGCTTTACCCAGCAATAATAACTCACTTAGGTAATAGGTAACAGAAGCCTTTTGACAGCTAACTAGATACAGGGAGCTAAAATTTATTATTTTTAGCTAGCTAAAGGCATTTGTTGACAATTCAGGGATGAGCTGGGTTTTCAAAATATGAACACTGCTCTATGTAAAAGCTGCAAACTAGCCTGCAAATAAATCTTCCAGTGAAATTAAAAGCAGACCATCGTCTTGTTTATTATCCGAGCTGACTCTCAGGGCTGTAGTTAGCAGTGTTGTCAACTCCTCAGTAAGGAAAATCGCCATTGGCTGTCCTAAAAGTCGCTAGAAGTCTCTAAATGACTTCATCGCCTAATTTGCACAATTGGTCATGCTTATGTCATTGTAACCTACGTTGTTGGAGAGAGAAATATTATCGTGGAAGAGACATAAAGTGAGTAAAAAATGCCCTAAATGCATTTAGAATTTATTTGGAATTACAAATTAAATTTCTTTTAGCAATTATTGTTTTTTAATGTCACAATTCCAATCCTGATCCTTTATCCGGGCTTGGACTGGCAAAAGTGACCCGAAATTGGCACTCTGGTGGAGTTACTTTCTGTGTGTGTGTGTTTATAAGTAGTTTTAAACTGATCCACAAAACAGCATAACAGTAAAATAAGAACCGACTGCATTACAGTCAGTGTGGGAGCAGCGGCTTCACTCATGCGCGATTCATTTGCAGTTTGGACGCATAGATGTGAACATCTTCTGCCCTGATAGCAGCTGGGGGAAGACTATCCTCCGCCTGTGAGCCCTTTGGCACGGGCGAGGTGCCCACGGCAGCACCCGCTGCTTGTTGAGAGTAAGAGCGATACGCGTTTTCACATCAAAAAGTCGTCATAAATAAGTCTCCAGAAAAAGTCGCCAGATTTGTCGCTAGTCGCTTTTTAGAAAAAAAGTCGCTAAGGGGGTCTGAAAACTCGCTAAATATAGCGACAAAGTTGCTAAGTTGGCAACACTGGTAGTTAGCTTATAGCATCTGTTCAAATTCAAATAAATTCAGTTCAGTTTTGTTTATATAGCTCCAAATCGCAACAACAGTTACTTCAAGGCACTTATTATTGTAAAGTTAAAACCCTATAATAATAAAGAAAACACCAACAAACAGATAACCGCCATTGAGCAAACACTTGTGAAGGACAAACTTTGCAAGGAAAAACTCCCTTTTAACCGGAAGAAATGTCCTGCAGAGGCTCAGGGAGGTGCAGCCATCTGAATAACTCATATTGCACTCAGTACGTTCCCACAAATAATGCAATAAAACACAAAAGCACCTTTATCTTTATACAGACTAAAGTTAGCCATAAACTGAGCTTGGCTTTTAAACGTTTGTGCTTTTATGCTAAGCTAACAGCTGCTCTCGATAACTTTGAGCCATCTCTCAGCTAAAGAGTGTTGCTAATGTTGAAGCAGTGTTTCTTTCAAATGTTCCCACTCACTCAGTAAGCAATGAGTTAATGTAAGTAACTGGTATCCAGGCCCACTTTGCCTTATGACCTCAGTATTGCTTAAGTCTTTGCTGCATACCCTTATAGAAAAGAAAAAATCATGAGTGATATATTATAGTTCTTTAAACGATAACTACTTATTCATGAAAGTTGCCCCTTTTCTCTGTAAATTCTTAAGATATTTATTAAAAGCTAAATATGACTCATGTAAACATTGTGCTGTAAATAAAAAATGTTAAAGGAGCACCTTTCATGACTAAATATATATCTCTTGAAATTAATGGGATTTTTTAGAATATTATATTTCTTTTCTACGTGGGTATTCATTAAAGTCAAATTTCATCACCCTTCGTCCTACACCACCTCCTCCTCACCTTAGTCCAGAAGAAGGAGATCCTGGACTGTGAGCAGCCAGACCGTGAGGGTTAGAAAAGTTCTGTAGCTCCTCCTCTGACGCGCGACAGCGCACAAAACAAACAACCACAGAAACATCACTTCACAGCTTCACAGGTAAAATCCACAGTTAAAGAAAGTGCTGGGCAGATTACAGAGAGAGCAAACTGAAAGACTTCTGACTACAGCACACTGGAAAAACATTTAAAACAATAAGGGGACAACAATGATAGGCACATAGGCTCAGTACTAGTTTAGCTTTCCAGCAGATTGCATTGCTACCGTTGTCTTTACATGCGTGCAACAGGTGTGTTACCATCTAGTGTTTCCTTCTCAGAGTCAGAGTCCCAGCTTAAGGAGGAAGGAAAGGCTGAGGATTTGAATCTCCTCTGTGCGCTCCTCCCTTGGTTTGCACTGGACTGGGGGCCCTCACTCTGCTTGGAGCGCTCCTCCCCAGTGAGGCCCCACAAGCATTTGGCAGATATCAGGCCATCTCTCAGATTTGGAGAACATGAAGACTAGAAAGTAGTAACAATAAACAAAGAATTTATTGTTGATGGGGGTGAAAATGGCAGCACTTATGACCACATAAATATATAAATTTTTATATATATATA